AATGTTGAGAATAGATACAATAAAACATACGAATTTCTGCTTATTAATCCATCTTTTTTTTTTTGGCAATTTTTGTGGCAGGAAAAATGATCGTTGTATTTTATACATATAAATTTTATTATTTTTTTTTTCGTTTTTTTTTTTTGAATTATATGCTATGTGTTCACTTTTGATTCGTGTAAATTAAACGTCGCTTTCAAAGTGCATATCAACAACACAATGTTCAACTAATTTTCATGTTTGTTGGGTGCTCAATAAATTTTCACAGTTTCATAAATCTTGGCAAGTATGTCGAATTACACGTCAATTTCAAAATTTCAGAAGCCATTGTCAGTTCCCTTTTTATAAAGATAATAAATCCCTTATAAAACTTTGTGGCAATTAATATTTGAATTATTTAATTAGTTCTATGGTTTTACTGTAATACTCAAAGATTTATAATATATGTGCATGTGCAAAGATAATTATAAACATTTGTAACTGTAAATCTTCAGGTAATCTTTTCTAAAGTCAAACTTCAAATCATACGTAATTTCTTCTGAGCTATTGCCGAGAATGGAATCTGTTTCCCACGTGATTTATATTACATAACTGTGACAATACTGTTATTCTATAAAGTTACGAATCGACTCGTGTCATTGCCATCACTTTATTCGTCACCTCATAAACACCTGACCATTCATTGCAAATTGAATCAGTCCTGTTTGGTAGTTGTAAGAGAATTGGGATTTGCCGGAATTTTCACCCGGAATTTCCAGAACTCTCTTTTTTATTTATTTGTTTTTTACTTAATATATCTAAAAATTACACATCAAAAAATATTGCAGAACGAAGGAAAAAGCAAATACCGAACCCATCCTTTAGCGCCATTGTGATAAGAGACATAATGTCAAGTTGTAAATGCACTGTAAAAGTTACTATTCCAGGTTCATAAGCAACCCTCAAAATCCTCGATTCATAAACGGTCAAATTTTGCAGATGCCCACAAGAAATGGATTAGTTTTCCTCCTGATTTCCCTGGGGGAGGATTTGTGGATGACTTCATGTCTGTTCCAGTCAATAACTAATTGTGACGGGGAGAGGGTAGTGTACACTACATCAAATGAAGTATTTCCTATGAGGGAGGATTAGGTGAGTTGAAGGTCAACGAGATCAAGGTCAGAGGAATGAGGTGGAGGAAAATCAAAGAGGGACGAAGGAGGAAAAAGAGGAAAAAGCAGAGGTTTTGTGGTAGAGAATTTTGATAGTAGTTCAACCACATATATTACGTTGCAAGGTGATATTGCTGTGTTTTGTTATTTCGAAGATCAAATCAAGTATTATTTGCAATTGACTCTGAATTTAGCCACCAAATAAATGCTTATTTGCTTGTGTAACGAAGAATGTCGTTTGTATTCCACATTCTTCACACTGTTCCATATAGCAACAAGCCTATCGTCAAGGTTCGGAAATTTTTTTTTGTATCAGAAATTTGATTTTAGAACAAATCAAACTACTCATACTTCATGCTTTAATGATTGTGATTCATAGATTGAAAATTGAAGGCATACATTTATTTATTTACAAAAATTTTCCACTTATTCAACTGATTTTACAGGATGTAATTGCAAGTTTACACAGTTATTTTACTTGCAATCTACTGATTGCCTTTTCCGTTATCATCAGCTTTAAACAATTTGGTGGCCGTCCGATGGAGTGTATGTTGCCATTAGGATTCAGTGGAGCATGGGAACAGGTAACATCTTTGCTTCTGTCAGATAATGATTATTCCGAGGTTTCGAGGTTAAATATTTTCTCTTCTATCTCTTAAAACGACAATGGTTGAAATTTTCCGACAGCATAATAAAATTCGAATTTTAATTATGTACATTATATGTCATGAGCGAATCCAGAAACTGGTTTTTTGCATTCATACATGACATTCATCATGTAGATAGAAGTTTTTTGATCTTTTACAGTATGCAGAAAATTTCTGTTGGGCGCAGGATACGTATTTTATTCCACCGAAAGTCTTCGTCGAAGATATTCCCGCAGAAGAACGCCGAGAGCGTCGAATTAGTTATTATCAGTGGATGCCATTTTTTTTGCTGTTTCAAGCAGCATGTTTCAAGGCACCTACACTTATATGGAAATACTTTGCCGGACAGTCAGGTATTAATTAGAGTTATCAAATGTTTAATATTACCAAATGTAGAGGTAAACAAGAATAAGTTTTTTCCTGTGAATTTATGTGTTTATGAAGATCTTGTGGGATCTGCATTTTACTGATTTTTTGTTCTTGTAAGTTACGGTAGACTAAATATTTGGTGAAATTTGGAGGAATAATGTCTTACTTATTCGTTATCTTAATACTGCTGTGTCGTTTAGTTCAAACCCCTGTGACTACCGAATTAGATATAATTTCCATCGTATCTAGGGATGAAATTGGGTCAAATCCTTCGATTAGCTAGTGATCCAGCAAATTCATCCTTGGAAGTTAAGAAGGGAAATATTGAAACGTTGTGCATGCATCTGCAAGGTGCTTTAAGATTCCACGAACGAGTGAAAAAGGTTCCAATTTAAATTACGTTCATATTTATCCAGCTTTATTCTGCCTTAATTTTACAGTCATACTTATCATCCAAATTTCAGAAGAAATTGGTGCCTCATAAAATTTGTCGATTCTTGAATATAAAATATGCGAATTATTATGTTACAACGGTATATATCTTAGCGAAGTTAGCATTTCTGACAAATGCTGTGTTTCAAATTTCTTTGATGACACGGTAATTCTTTTCAGATAAAGAATGATAGTTAACTGATTACTAGTAGAAAAAAATAATTTTTATATAATATTTGGTGAAAGTGAAATTTACGTGGATGGCCATTACTTTAAGTTGAAATTCCTGGGAACTTTAAGCTTATGTGAGGCTTCAGGAGTCTATAAAGATTTATATTTATTGTTCAGTCTGATTTACACTGGGAAAATGCTCATATTTTATAACACGACTTTCTTTGTTTTTCAGATACTTATTACCAGAACTTGAAAATAATTACGGCTTGGAATCGTGGATGAATATTATCTGGCCTAAGAATGTTTCTCCATCATGGCATCACAGTGGGATCTTCCCTTTAGTAACGCTTTGCGATTTTGAAGTGAGTCGAATACCTGTTATTCATTCTCACTCCGAATATTTCATTCACATTTTTCAGGTCCGAGAAATGGGAAACATACAGACTCATACAGTGCAGTGTGTTCTTGTTGTTAACTTGTTCACTGAGAAAATTTTCATTCTACTGTGGGCTTGGTAATTATTTTTCACATAACACCCTATAAGTTTCAATAATTATTGAGCGGCAAACTTTAGATTTGAAAACAGTCATTACTAGAAGTTTTGCTTTAACAATTGGATAGTTTATGATAGCGTTGTCGTTTTTCAGGTTCATGATATTAGCAACATTTACATCTCTGAGTGTTTTAAACTGGATATATTTGTTAACGGAAAATTGTTCAAAAGAGCACTTCATTTTGAATCATCTCGAAATGAGCGGAACACCGTTCAATAAAAATGACCCACGTTGGTGATGCTTCTTGCAGCACTGATTAGTTCATCTTTCTTGTTAAGATTGAAAACCGTGAACACAGAGCTGAGGAAATAGAATTGTGGTTTGATTCAGATAATTGTATTTACTTCTTGCTAAATAATTTCAAAAAATAAAAATGAGAAAAATAAAAACGGTGCATATTCTCTTTTAGGAAATAAGAAGCACGTTGACCGTTTTTTGCATGAATATTTGGGAATAGACGGCATCTTTGTTTTAAGAATGGTTGCTAATCATGCGGATGTTGTCTTTGCGACTGAACTGGTCGCATCACTGTGGCGATCCCACTATGTTTTTGAGGAGAGAAGGAAGTAAGTAATTCTAGGGTATTCTGGAAAACATAGTTTCTTTGCAGTAAATGGCGCGCTATGCAAATAATGTATCAACATCTTATGATTTCACCTCCTCGAGTCATTCCGTCTAATTCGCTTATTATTTGAAATTATTGAGTTCAGCAAACTTTTAGAATTTTTGAGATCTCTGTTTAGAAATTTATTACAAATGGACAAGGTATGGCCCCAACACCAACAAAGACTAGAATTGGCATTGCTTGAAGAAGCTGAAATTGCTCGAAAAATCAGTTCGGATGCCCTAAACGCGCTTCAGAGGAAAAGAAGTGTTTTCTTTGATTCACCATATTTCGTAAAACGTAGTTCGCTGACTGGAATAACAATACCGAAAGTACCCTCACGTTAGTTTTTGCACTCAGTTCAGAAGAAAATTTACGTTAATTCTAACAATAAATATGCCTTTGAAAATAACTAATTAAACAGAGGTCATAAACTCACGGTATAAAATCGAAAGTTCTCACTTATTCTTTTATATTTTGTTTAGTATGGTATACGAACAAAATGATTATATATTTAACTGGATGTATCCATTAATTCCAATTCCAGGTAACATGCTGGGAAGTTCCTGTGCGCCATCCCGAAACAATTCTAGAGATAGTATAATACCCTTTTCACCACGTCTCGGAAATCATCCTCGAGGTAGCATTTTCTCTACTGATAGTCAGTGTAAACCTCGACGACGACACAGCTTGGAAGAGACTGATATTGGTTGTAGAGTAAAGAAATTTGCAGACAGTAGTGATGAGGAAGAACAGGAGAAAGAAAAAGGTCCAAAAAGCTTTATGAGTCGGAAAAGTACAATCAAAATTTGGTGAATAGTTTGATGGTAGCCTTTGTACATTCTTAATAATCCATTTTGTGCACTGTCTAATCAGGTTTCACGAGGTACTCTCTGATCAGTTAAATTCGTTTCTTTCTTTTCTATTGAGTGGAAAGCACGAAGATATTTAATTTAGTAGATTTATTGTGGATTTTCTGTTTTGTTTTAACAGCTAGTTCTGGGACTTTTTGTTTTCCATTTTCTTCATTGATGACTTTTTCAGTTTGAAGTTATCGATTTCATGACAGTTACGAGTTTTTATAGTTAGTTCTTTTGTGTAACACTGACGAAAAATGTTTATGAAGATTGGCCTTCTTGGATCTCAAATTTCCTTCGTTCTTTCGTACTGATGTGTTTATCGACACGCCTGGTAACGCCTTATATAACCTGTTAGTATTTTGCATGCATTGTTATATTGTTTTAAATCGAATCTAAACGAACTATCACTTTCTCCATACTTTTTTGCATATTAGAAGAAATGTTCCGGAGAAACCTGTTTCCCAGCAAATGCGAATATGGAATAAAAGACTTTTGTGGATCAGTAATTTAAATTTCGATTCCGCACATAGTCGAAATTTTGTCATTTATCCATATTAATATTAAAAATCTTCCCTTGAAATTTAACGGTGTTTACAAGGCTTCTTTATGAGAGCCGTTTGACAAATTTTCAAATTATATATATGTCCCATAATTTTCTAAACTTTCACTTTATTTGCGAAACAAAATTGAACAACCTTGTACCCACTTTCGATGAGGCGTATAATGCGGTGATTAATTGAGGTTTTTCCTTGAGCATGCTTTTGAATATTTCTTTTAAGAAATTATCATCCAAGTGTTTTTCGAGTACATCCGAAACAACACGTAGAAGATACGGTGTAGAATGTACCGGTAACGATAACATGCCAATCATATAGTTAGGCAGTACTTCACGAACAAACATTGCGGGAAATTCGCGCATTAAAAGCTGAAATACGAGTTGGCAAATTTTTAATCTAGAATTCAAAAGAAAACCTCATCGAAAACTTAAATCAAGTGGCAAAGAAATGAAAGTAATGAAGAATGCCGTTTTCTTAAATCCTATTACGGTTGTTTGTAACTTTACTCGTTAAAACTAGTTAAACCTTGGAAGTAAAAAGAGAACAGCACATATATTTCCATATTTCTTTGAAAACCAAAAACCAAGGTGGAAAATCAGTTTTTAAATTTCAACGAATCTGCACACTGCAGGAGTGTTCTTTCTTATCCCTTGTCGTGTTCTGATAGGAATTTCGAAATCCATTTAAGCTGTTCCGAGATTCACGGAACTTAGGTTAAAATCGAAGTATTTTTCTAAAATCTACTGAACTTACCACATTTTGCAGTATGAGTTTGCAGAGCTGCACAAATGGTGACCGATTAAAATTACATTCTGAGGGTGGCTTGTAAATTTGCTGTGCAGCGTGCATATATAAATAAGACATTATACGACAGCAGTGGATCACTGTTGTTTCTTCAGCGTTCATCAGAATACGATGTAGAGGTGATACTAGCAGTTCGGACCAACTCATAATATTCTCGTGAATCCATTTCTTACTGTTAGCATTTTTTGAAACAGTCTGTAACAAGTATCATGTTCAAATTTGAAATTAAGCGAGAATATAATGCTTACAATAAAGGAACGAATGCAGAATAAAACAACCTCAAATAACCAACGTATCGAGTGAATCGTTGAGGATGAATCCACAGAAAAAGCTTCAAAATACAAACCATTTTTCCGAAATGACACTCGAAGATTCTTGCAAATACTTTCAGATATGTCATTAAGTTCTAAAAAATCAATTGTACAGTTCTTCAAACTGCAGATAGAATACAATGTTAAGAAGCTTGAGTTATATACTAATTGGACCGTCGTTCATATTGCCAAGCATTTCCCTGGCTTCAAATTTCCGAAATATGTCTTTCCATCTCTCGATACAACCTAAGCACTATTATCTTCATGGACAAGGTACCCAGGATGAGATTTATAAGAAACTTAAAGGCAATTCAAAATATACAATTAAGAACTTGGACAAATCAGAAATTGAAGATTTATCGTGAAGGATTGAATCTGAAGAACAAACCATCTGTATTTGGTTTTTCGAAGGCAACCACCAACCATATGGGAACGATGAGTTCAACCGGATAAATCGCATTGTTAGCTGTCCTCAAAAATTCTCGCAAGAAGTATAAGCAAACTTCAAGTTTGTAACTTTTTTCAGTCAACAAGTTTTGTACAACTTGACGCATGTTTTGAAAAGCTAATTGACTTCGTTCAAATTTTATCGCTAACTGAAAGAAGCAAGAAGTTTTCAAAAAAGAAAATTTGATTCCCACTCTATAAAATTCAGAGCTTCAAACCCGAAAATGAGTTATTACCGACTTTAGTTTATGTTATAGAAACTAGCATATTATTTAGTGGTACAATCAGTATTGCTACTTGATTAGAATATTTATTAATATTCTAAAGTACTTCAATTGTGAGGATATTCACTGCCCACCATTCTTAGTGCTTTTTATAACTGCTTAGTGTCCTACTTACTTTGAAAGTCATGAATTTATTATTTTGGAAATTGCAAGTTCAGTTATCTATGGCAAGAATTAAACAGACGAAAATACATCCGCGAAAGTTTATTGTTCAATAATAATTCGTAATTGATATTCAAAAAGTTATAGCAAATAGTACTACGCCAGCAGAAGAAAAAAAGACCAACCTGTTTAACAATGTAATTTATTATTATAGGGAAATTGGGACTTTTGAGATGATTGATAGCTGCATTCCACAAAATACTGTTTTCAGTTCGATAGTGAACAACCACCGCAAAGAGCTGTTCCAAATCCATATCATTCATGAATGGTAAAAAGCGAGCTAGAGAACCAATCTAGGAAAGATTTATCAAAACCAATTCATATGTTTGTTTCCAAAGAATTTGAAGAAGTCATACCTCGGATACTTTTTCAGCAACACATATGCAGCATTCGATATACAATGAAACATCTTTTTTATCATCAAGCTTTCCCATCACTACAAGAATTTTTAAAAGACTGAGTACAGTTTGATGATTTCAAGATCAATTAACAAAACCCCGTGCACTGTGATAATGCATGTAAACTGCACAACCGATGATTGAGATTAAGCAGCAAATGGTAAGAAAAGTCCTACAATGTTTGGAATTGCATCTTAGATTTATGTAGGATTCTATCCATTAAAAGTAAGGTGGTAAAAGAGAGATCTGGATAAATTTTCTTTTTCTAAAGAATTTAGAACTAAATTGAGAAATAATATAAATTTCATACAACAAAAGGAATACGCATATAAAAAATACATGCTATTAACGTCGCGATTGCTTGCGAAGAATCATAACGATTTTCATCCAAAATATACTTTGTGCACTGAATTGCTCGAATCAGGACTTCGTGACGCTCTTTATCAGAAGGATCAAAAGCAGACGTTGCCAATGAAATCACCTTATTAGACGTCTCTTCCATATCTAAATGCTAAACAGATCATATTCTACATTACTATTTTTACAAATTCAGTATGGGTGAAATTCTTTGAAAGAGTATAATTGAAATCTATGACCTTAATTATAAAAGGTAAAATAATCTTGAGAAAAGCAAGGTGTTTAATGCATAGTGCAGCATTACAAAGAATATACCTATATTGTGCAAGCATGAAATAAAGAGGCTGAATACGCAAATAAGTGAGTGAATTGGCATTTCACGAAATCGTTTGGCCGGGAATTTAGAAAAAATTCGTGGCTTCATAGCTCGCCAAACTGGCTCAGATCCTACAAGAAAAGTACAAATAATTTCACACAAACTGATAACGTGTAATTGACAAAGACAAGAACAAACCTAACTTTTGATAAGCATTGACATAAGTCGTATAAAAAGTATCCAATCGTTGTATTTATCTCCCGTGTTGTCATTACAACAAGAAAATAGAAAGTCCTTCCAGACTTTCCCATTGGTTGGGTAGAATTCTAACTCCTAGAAAAGCAATTCGCGCGATTTGCAGAATTTTTATAGAGTTATCGAATCTTAAAAGTAAGTTAAAAGGAAAGTTAAGCTATTTTTCCTCTTGTGTTATATTGACTACCTGATCAAGAGGTTCCATAACGTTCGAACATAAGTATGTGAAGAAATATTGCAAAATAGATTCTGTTCCTAGAAGACTATCACCAGGATCCTTATCGAATAAAAAGAACAATTTCCTGAAAAAACTATGCTGCGTAAATTTGGGATCTATCGAAGCTTTAAGTTGAATAAGTTCTGATTAAAACTCCAAAAACCTTGCCAACTCTTCTTTATGGCTCCGTTTCATTTTTAATGAATTATTTGTACTAAAACTCTACCTCAAAACGTACTGTTTTTCTGACAGTTTTGAAGCGATTTGTTGCAAACATTCTATATAACTGCCTGAAGCTTTGCCTGCAACGTTCATTAATTGAATAAAGATGACAAGTAAGAAATCAAAATCCCCACCTAATCAATCTGTTTAAATATTTCACCTGATACGATGTAAGGACCATCAAAACCAGAGCCAAATTCGCAAATTATTTCCAGAAACGTTTTTGCCGAAACTGAATTGCCAATGTTACATAAATCCAAGAACATTTCTAAATTCGTTATTTTTCAGCCATTGAAATAAAACGGGCTAAATACTGATATGAAAGAAAATTTAGAATCTCGACTGTGAAGAAGCTGTTATATAAGACTCAAACTACTTTAACTTCAGTAATTGCCAGAAATTTAGGGAATGAAATAATTTTTTAAAAACAATCTGGATTACTCACCACTTGAAAGATTTTCAGGTGGGTAATAATGCAAACCGCTGGTGCATAAGCTTAGCAGCTTGACCATATTTGACCAAAACATTTCTTTATTTAATATACAGAGTTGATGCCAAGCGGCAGTAACACATCGGCATATACATGGTCGATCCTAGAAATTAACTATTTTAAATATACTTGAAATCAGTACAACTGACTCCTGCAAATTTAGAAATTTTTGAAGATGTATTTGCAAAAAAAAAAAAAAAAAAACAGACATCTCATCAATAAGCTGATTTCAAATCGACTTAATGAACTTATTTCAAAAAAAAAAAAACTCTAAATTTCATAAAATCAAGTTTACTGACCGTACGTGATGCACTTAGCAGTAATCCATACGAAACAAGCATTGATAGCTGTTCTGCTGATGATAATGCATCACCTACCGGATAAAGTTTTTCGAAACCACTGAACCCTACATAGTCATATAATGAAAGGAGACAAAGTAACATCAAAATTAATAGCTTTGTACAAACTTACTTCAACTTAAGTCTCAATGTATTAAAGAAAAGATGCAGTAGTAATTTGTACATCTGACTAATGCGTTTTTTAGTATAATATAAATGTGTGAAACTAGCTTATTACAAAAAAAAAAAAAAAATGATTTTTGAAAAAAAAAAAAAACTCATTCTTTTGCTTAAATATTTATTTAAGAAAAATAAAAAAAGTTACAATCATGTCTACAAAATGACTCACTTTTGAAAAAAGTTGAAATACGGACGGCTTTCATCCAGGTAATCAACAGGGCATGGAAAATGTAATTCTGAAACATGAACAACATCTTAATTTTTCACTTGAAAATTACTAAGAAGAACTCTTATCTTGAATTTCAGCAACAATACCTGAACATAACTGAATGCTCTCCGAATTTCTGATCTATATTTCACTTCTAGATCCGGTCTATGAATACCAACAGTTAAGATTAAAGAAATGACAATCAATTTACCTTACCGTTTCAACGTTTCGTGTAGTAAATAAACCATCATTAGCAATGTAATGACTCAGTGAGCCCGCTTGAACAAGGAAAAACTTGAATTCTCGTGCAATTTTATTCAGCGTTTCCATATCACCATCCGATTCCATGTTCTAAATCTAGAGCTTATCAAAATTTCAAATTGAAAAATTAGCGTTTTTCGAACATGGCACGGAAGGTGAATGTCACATAAATCTCACCTGTGCAAAGGCGGTTAAATAACTAAGTGAACGATCCAAGTCAATGATGGCTGTCTCAGAGGAGTCATGAGCGATCTGTTGGTATAAAAACCGAAGACACCGAAATACTGTTTTAATGCCGCGATCTGTATACAGCTAAAAAATGATACCATTCAGTAAATCTATAGCATCAAGACTACCTGGATGTGTTCAAAACAGTACATAAAGTTGAAATCTTAACAGAAAAGAAAGCAATTGTGCAATTTTTAAAATATATATTAAAACAGTTAAAATTTAAATTCTAAAGTCTCATTTTAGTTTCTAACCTTTGAAAAAACGTCACATTTTCTTAATATTGCCAAAATCACTATTAATAAAACTATAATTAGTAAAAATATAAAGAAAAGCATACAGAAACATACCATATTCATGTTAAAGCTAAAAGTAGAAAGTTTCACAAAGGACGGCAACGAATACTGCACAGAAGGCAAAGTATAGTCATCGATGACACGCCTCGGGGGACATCTATTTTGACATACCCAGTCAATATACAACCATTCCGGTAAATCACCCACCGATTCGAATAAATCCTTTTCTGTTTCATCCATTGATAAGATTCATGTAATTGCAACCAACGCCGTAAGTCTGCAAATCTCAGAAATACAGCGAAGAAAGGGTGGAAATAAGTGAATAAGTAAATAGAGAAGTAAATTAATTAATTAAATGACTGAATGAATAATAAAAAATAAATATATATATATACGCACATATAACAAGCCATATCAAAGTTTCAGGCTGGAATTAATTGAAGATAGAGTTATAACATGCTATGAACCGCTACTTTTTTTCAATTACACTATTTTTAACTATTTAACTCCGACTTATATCTGCAATGTTTAAGCTTTCATTCATATATTCCCGATGTTAATCAGCTGATGAATGATTGTCTAATACAGGATGTTTGCTATTGGTGATATTAAGACCATTTCCAATTAAATTACAATAAAAAGTGCTTAATCGCCCAATGCTTGACTAGCCCAATTTAAGAAATCCTTTAATCAACTTTAAATTTGCCGCATAAAGCGTTTACACCTCAAGGCCTTAAGCGTTAGTTGCAGCGTTGTTGTCGTCATGGTTAGATCAGGTTTCATGTTTGAGTTTAGTGAATTTCTATGGTATTCAATTTTTCTTCAACTTCGGTGTTTAGTATTTCTATTGCGAAATATTTTATTTGATTTCAGAAGAACTTAAGTAGAATCGTTCATGGAGATTTTTTGAATATCCTTAGAGATGACTCGAAGTGACAGGGGGAGGTGATAGTTTGTGAGGTAGTCGCTAATTTGATGGAAAAGATCGAATTATTTTGAAATTCAATTTTTCCAATTACCATTACTTATTATTTGCTTTCCTGTTTGTAGGTATGATTGAGATTTGAAAAGGTTAGTGAAATAGTTAAACAATGATTGTACAATAACTCATTTGTCTATAGCTATTGTTTTTCTCTGTTGCTTGATGAGAATAATTCGTTTCATGAAATTCTTCTTAAAATTCACTCATACACACACACGCACATACATATTTACATGTTTATACATAAAATGATATCAAATTTGTCCTTTTTTTATGGGCCATTTCTTCGTTGCGGGATTTTCTAAATGTTTCTCCTATGATCACAAAATCATATTGGTCGTGGAATATCAAATTGGAAGCATGCCCAACTTTTGTTTTCCAACTTTGCGATAGTTTTGTTAAGTTGCTGAAAGTCGTTGTTTACTCAAGGATTTTTGTTCAGTTTACAGAATAATTCTTTCATGATAGTATGTGCATACAGAATGTACATTATAAACAGCTTGAAACCAGAGAACAACTGAAAGTGTTTTAGGACTCAAGTTGGCTACTCAAGAGCAGCTGTTAACAACAGTCCGTACTCGCCATCCGGCGCTGCGGAAGACTGCAGCTATCAGTGATGAAACGGTGGACGACGAGAATGCAACTAGTGAGTCGCATAGTTGGAGCAGTAATAACGGTGCCAATGGTAGCACTTCATTTGCTTCTATTAAACGCTGTAACCAACCAACGGCTACAATTGTATGCACGAAAAGTGAACCGCTTTCCGGTGAGGATATCAGTGGTATTACCGCTACCCATCATCACCGGAATACTTTGCCAATACATGCACATTCGGTCCCACCAATGCGGTCGTCTAAGCTTCACGAGATTTCTGCAATGAATACGGTGATTTTTGACTTTGCTGCTAAATATGCAATCAGTTCAGAGCAATGTATTCCACAATTGAAAAATTCTTTTGACCTATATATTAGCAACAGGAAAAGGTGTACGTGGAGCATTTTATTCGGTGGTAATCTTGTTTCGCAATGTCATTCTTATTTTGAACTTCGAAGAATGCAAACATATATCAAAAGTTTCTTTTCGAAACATTGTGGACATTGGTTATTTCTTTTAGATTCGCAGTTGTGATGGAAATTTCACGGAGGAAACAAATGGCCTGTTATCTGATGCTCAAACTGTGATTAAACACCAGGTAGCTTTCGAGAGCATTTAAGCGAAATTTCACCATTTCTCTTGAGTTAAATGTATATGCATGATTAAAAGCCAAATGTTTTATCGATTTTAGGTTCCGAATGATCCATCTGGCTTGAACGCAGCTTACTGTCGTGATACTGGTGTCACCTTACCTTTAAACAGCCATCTTATGCCACCAAAATCTGTTATACAAGATGACATACGTATGAAATTGGGGAGATTTGAATTAGTAAAAAAGAAAGGCAGATCCGAAGTGTGGAATTTGTTTGGACAGGTTGGTTATTTAAAGCTTCAAAAACGATTTTCTGTACAGAATTTGTCTTTAACATTTCATTAGCGATGTTAATGCACGGCAAAATATATGTTCTAGAAGATCTGAATGTGATATGTTAATTGATAATGACAGGATGGTTTGTATTTCTATAATTGTAGGCCTTTTTCTGTAGGTTGTACTGAGCTGTGTTAGATATACATTTGTCTGATTACCCGAAATACTGGAAAGAATTCCGTTGCCGAGAAAATTAAAAAATAAGGATTTTGAATTGAAAGATCTGTATAACCTGCTGAAATGTACAAAATTTTATTAAAGGCTTTTATCAAATTTTCGGATTTTTCATATTGAAGAAAATGTTTGGTTTATTTTTCCGGTGCTTGACACAATTACTGGAGCTCGTCTGCCGTATGTGGCTTGTTATGCATGCAAAGTGCTCTATACAGATACAGGTGGTGGAACAGGAAATATGACTCGTCACAGATGTCCGATTGGCAGTAGCTATAAGGATAGCATGAGGTAATGTGAATTTTTGTCCCAGAGCAAAATTTGTTTTAATGATATGGATCGTACAGATGCGAGATAAGGAAGGAAGTTCGTTTCTTTCAGTCGAGATTTTGTCTCGAAGTTGCGTGTATTTTATCGAAATTGGGGACTTTCCATTGCGTAGCCATTTTGTTGGCTTTATTTTTAGCTCATCAGCGGAATCAACAAATGACACTTCTGGCAAGCAATTTTTTGAAACCCTTGCATCAGGATATGTCAGTCAGTTGTCTCCCGACACATCTGCTGCGTACAGAAGGGTAATGTAGTATTCTCTTAAATGTTTCGATTTTCCGATGATTCATGTTTGAACTTGCTGACGTAACAGGCAGATATATTGGAATAGTTGAACCATAGTGCTATGATTTTCCAGTGCCCTTGAGTTCCATGTTGTGTTTTTCCTTGGTTTATGGTCACTGTTCTTGATTATTGAATATATCGGTGAGTGTATTGCAAAGTGAAATATGCCAATTGTTTATCACTAAGCGAGTGAATCCAAAGAAGAAATAATTCAGTCAATAAGTTTAACAGATGACATAACTTCTGAAGACCTATCAAAAAGTTTCCCGTCTTTCATTAAACAACAGAAGTGGTATGTCTTGGCGTGTAATAGTTTTGAAAATATTTTTAGGATTCTCCAGCACCACCTTCATCATCACATATAAGTCTTACGGCGCAGTCATCATTTGAGACATCATTTAGTGAATATGATCGCCGAATATTTTGCAATGCAATTATGCGATGTTGTGCTATCGATTTACTTCCACCTGCTATTTTTCAGGTTACTTTTGGATTTCTTAATTTAGTTTACCTGAAATTTCTCGTGTAACATTTGTTGCATTTACCACAGAAAAGATGAAATGTCATAAATGTGACATACATTATTTGTTGGAACTGTATCAAGGTTTTTGACCCTTATCATATTCTAGGGTTGATTGAATTTTAACTTTTCGTTAGTTTAGTTTTCTCATTTTCACTGGTTAACAATCAATATTGGTACTCGAGGTTTTTAGGGAGAAGGAATGCACGGTGTTATCGAAACAGCCATATCAATTGGGCGACGTTGTCGGTGTCCAGATCGTCAAGCAATTTCAACACTTATTCCTGAAACTTCTACCCTGAGTCAGGTCAGCAACCTTTCCTAATTATCTTGACTTTGAAAGCTAACCTCGCTTTTTTTGTTAAATGTTTGATATAAATTTCTTGCATGCATATAGTTTAGTAATGTTCATTATGTTCATTCTGATTCCATACATATCTATCTATCTATCATCTATCTAATCTATATAATTCATCTAATCTATTTAATCTATCTAAAAAACCGTGTTTGATATTTTGTTTTCACAGGTTATTGAGGCTAACACAGCAATGATGCTGTCAGAATTGACTGCGGAAGTAGGACAGATTTCCCGTACGTCTGGTTTCTCGTTTTCGGTAGAGCGCGTTGCAAATGAAGATGATATTGCTGTTATTTCAGCTAATTATATCACAGCAGAATGGAAATACAAACATCGTGTTGTGAAGTAAGTCTTATTTATGTTTTCTCTTTTGCTTTATTAATGACATTTTGCTTTGATAATGCTTGATTTTCGTATAACTGAAGAGTAAGGAATTTTGACTTCTACAGCTTTAATTAGCTTTTATTGTTGTACATGATTTAATTTGTAAATTTTCTCATGCAATATTCATTTCAGTGTTGATACAATAGAAAAGATGAAAACAGGATTGGGAACAATGGTCCGAGAAGCGGGTGAATCTAAAAGGCTTTTATGTGTTACGGAAAACATTCCGAGTTGTAGTGGACAAGCTCATCTTTACTGCATATGTTATACACTGAATAATGTAACGTTTTATGAACTTAAACTCTTAGTTATCTTAAAAAAAAAAAAAAAAAAATTTTTGCATATCTTGCTAAAATAATCATAGCATTAGTTGCCGATAAATTTTGAATATTCAGATAAATTGTATTTAAAAATCGTCTGTTGCAGCTCATCCATGAAATTTTCGAAGAATTATGCGATCAGAGACACAATGTGTTTGCCATTTTTATGGAATGCCAGAAAATAGTTGGTAATCTTCCTTAATTTACTTTATTTTCAGGAAGAGTATCGTCGTAAATTCTCAGAAACATAAATTGCACATTTTTGGGTTATAAGTTAATCTTTTGATTTGTCTGTCATCTGTTTACTTTCTTAGCTCATAATTTCTCTTTTTAGCTGCGATAGAAAAGTTGGGCTTAGATCGTTGGATTGATCCACCAGTTGAAAAAAGGGCTGGACGACTTGATTACTTATTTTATGGTTATGAAATGTTAAAGTACGTTAAAGATTGCGTTCAGCATTTGCCCATTTCACAATATCCAGGTATGCCTTGTTTATAATCACTGTTTACATTTTCTTTCGTTTTAATTGCCTAAAATATCTCATACATAGTAATTAGTAACTGTATATTGTTTCGGATTTAAATTAACTCGAGAATAACTTGTTCTCATCGGTACTACTTAATGTAAATAGCATTTGAATAATATACAAGACTTGAATATCTCATGTTTGCTGACTATATTTCAATATTTGTGGTTATCTCTTTGTCAAACGCTGTTAATTATATAGCATTTTATGTTACTGAAATTATCACTATCAAGCTATTTATTGTAATGGGAAGTACTTAGCAACCATTTAGATATTATGGTACTGGTGCGATCGATTGATTGGTCAGTTGCTGATGAAATACGAAAATATTTGGAACCATTTCATATTATGGCATCAATTTTCAATAATAAATCAACAATATCTTTTCATATGGTAATAGCTAATATATCACTCCTTCTAAATTAGAAATTTAAATCACATATCTCAATGTGCTTAGTAACTGGTGTATGTTGCTGCATTTCTGAATTTCATATACTTACTAAACTCAATTGGTTTATGACGAATTTTCTTTATCAGGTGCAACCAGAATGGTTCGCATTGATTCATGAATTCTCATCAGATGATGAGGGTGATGTGAACAATAACGATGCATTGAGCTGGGCATGTGCGCTGAGACGGAAAACGGAAAATGTATTAAGAAGTGCTACGGAATCAGTAATTATGCCGGAGCATCGTATGGCAACTGTGTTGAATCCTCGTCTCAAACATCTTCCAATTATTTGTTCAGACGAAGAAAGGTTTTTTTTTTTTCGTTTTTCGGAATGTGATTTTTTATCTTTGAATTGATAGTTGTGAAAAATTTCTAACATCAAATAGATTGTACTTACTTCTCGCAGTGCAGGCTTCATAAGTGTTCTACTATGTCATGTGAAAGCCATATTTTTAGATCACAAACTTACTCAAGAATACGGAAATTAATCGGAACATCTGAAATGAAAAATCTAAAAAGCGATGAATTTCTTTCTGGTAAAGTTTGCTGTTCATCTTGCTTTTAAGTAATTAACATATCCGGTTGGTAAAGTTTATAGTTCAAAATAAAATTTAGGTACAAGTGATGGAGAGCCACCAAAGAAGCGAATATCATTTTTGAGCTCACTAGAAGATCATGCAGTTATTGATGATGAACTGGAGTGTTACTTACGTTCGCAGTATCCAGCATCTCAAACAAAGTTTGCTTCTATTTCTGTTAAATTATCGGTTTCTTTACGTATTTATTCGACAACCAGTTTATCTACTTCTTTGTGTTCATTCGCATTATTTATTTAAAAAAGTTTGCAGGTACATCGAAGTTATAAAAAGATTTATCAAATTTTAATTTTGATTTCTCCCCCGTCTTCTAAATGATTAATTACAGAAAAATAGTTCATTTCCAGAATAGCATGCCAGCCCTTTCTATTAATGCTGAGTCGGTTAAAATTCTTTTAGAGATGTGCTGCAGTTTTGGTCCACTGTTGGTCAGGCGCAATTTCCATATCTGTCGCTGTTGGCTCGATTTCTTCTTTCCATCCCAGCTGCTTGTGTGGTCCATAAAACTCAGAACGTTTTGAAATTAACTCCGGAACACCTGTCAAGCTTACTTTTGTTACGATCATCATATACGCAAACAGTTTCTGGTGGACAAAGTCTACTTGCTTAACAAATATCCATATTTTCTTTTCTTTTTTGCTCTTCAATATTTTGAATTGGTATCAACTGTATTTGTTTATACTTTCAGTTCTCTAAATACTTTTGCCATATTTCGAAATTCTCGTTGTTTTCAGGTATTGTACGGTTTATTTTTTTTTTTAATTTATCATTTATCATTTAGATTTTTGCTAATCATCCGTGACAACTGTTTTGTAAGATATATAGTATGTAAAAAGAACTCATGGATTTTTCCCTTGATTAGCAGTCATTATTAGATATCCTGGTGAGTGATTCATATCGTCCTGCCTGTTTCTTTTTTTCTTTTTTTCGAACATACTCTCTGTATTTTGCCACACTGTGATCTCATGTAAACTTCATTTTTAATTTACCGTAATTTATGAAATGTTTTTTGTCAGATGCCTTAGTTCTGTGATGGTGTTAGCGATGCACGTGTAAGTGGTATGTTAATATTGAAATTTTATTAAAAGTATTTCAAGATTAACAACAACCAAAATTTTCAAAGAAATAAATGTTTTAATATACTTCTGTACATTGATTATTTTACGACCTTTAGCTAATTGCAGCAGAAAAGAAATGTACAAGTTTTAGATCGCTGATGTATAATGGAAATTGTTACATCAGTTGGTTGTCATCATAGACGGAATGTTTTCTTTGCAATCTGAGTAGCTTGGAATGCTGATTCCAGGCAGCGAAATCAACACGTTACCGGGTTTCAAAGCCACGTTACTTATGTGTCTGTGAGATTTCGCTGGTGGCTAAGGAATGAATGAGTTCCAATGAATCCAGTTCTAAAATATTCGCATTTACATATTATACTTTCTTCTTTGTATAGATTCTCAACTGCATGTGGACATTTTGCTAAGGTAATTTTATCAAATTCTGAAGTACTTGGCTTAATCTGTTCATATAGTATCTGCAAATCTTATGAGCCTTTATGGTTTACAAAACTTTTAGAAGAATCGAAAGTGACATCGTTTCTAGTTTTCTTTATGTAGTTAGGAAATATCATTGTAAGCTTACATCATTTTTTGATAAAGAGTTTATCAAGTATTCAGGCAAGAAGTTGGAAACACTTGACGCATGGTGCTTCAGTTCCGAAAATGCAAACAGTGAATCGGGATATTTTTGCCATAAATAAGCAAAATTTCGATTATTTCCTTATTCTCGATTTCGAAGCAACATGTGAAGAAGGAATGAAAATTATGCCCCATCAAGTAAGACTTCTCTGCATATAGTTTATACTATTCAGTGAAGTATTCAAATTAAAATTACGTGGTATATTTCAGGAGATAATCGAATTTCCTGTCATACAGCTATCCGGGAAAAATTTGGAAGAAGTTGGTCGATTTCATCGATATGTGAAACCAACCGAACGACCAATTTTGACATCATTTTGTACTGACCTTACTGGAATTGTACAGGTACACTAACACTACATTTTTTTCCGATTGCACAAAGATCTATTTTTGCTGAAAACTTGAATTTGCTAACTATAATTTGCTATAAAAATTCTTCTTAGGAAACAGTAGAAAGTCAGGCGAGTCTTCCGGAAGTTCTACATGCTTTTGATGAATGGCTCTTGGATTTGAATTTGATTAATACCGATCATTCGATGAAGTCACTTTTTACTTTTGTAACATCTGGTGATTGGGATCTTGGTGTATTGCTTCCCAGCGAAGCAAATTATCGAAATTTGGAGCTACCAGAGCAAGCGTTTTAATGATTTGTTGGCTTAAATATTATCGTTTTTAAAAAAGATGATTTTTTAAACAGATTGTTTTCGGCGTTGTCGTCTAATTTCACTACATTTGTTGGCAGTGTCACAATTACCATATGAGAAATAATCTTTCTGAGCTAGGCTGGAATGCCCTAGGTTTTATCATAGTTCATTTGTTTGGTAAGCTCCTTTCATTGTGAAATTTTTTATTTTATAAGTTAATCAGATTTTAGATACTTCAAAAGATGGATCAATTTGAAAAAAGCCTTCTGCAAATGTAAAGGTTATTTCGCCAAGTCTCTAGCGGTAATGCTTCGTGATTTAGAACTAAATCATTTGGTATGCTTACTAAATTTTGATTGCTTATACTGTTTTTACCTTATTTTCAAATCTTCATGCTTAAGGTTGTATATAAAATCTAAACTGATTCTTTGATTATTTCCTATTGTTTTTTTTTCTTGTATTGACCAGTTATGTTACCCTTCCCAAAGTAATCTTGCAATCCTATCTGCTTATAGGGATAACTAAGTTATCTTTATCATTTCACATTTCTATATGGAGAAAAGTTAACTTTCACTCTTCAGGGTCGATTGCACAGTGGAATAGATGACGTGAGGAATATGTGTCAGATTACAAGATCTCTTGGCAAGAGTGGTTACGTATTCCAAAATACATCGATTTATATAGATGAGAAACATACTTTCGAAAATTTGTAACATATATATATATTAAAAAACATGACCGTTCGAGTCCTCTGAAAAGATTCTAGAAAAGACTCAGGAATAGAAAATATTTAATTTTTTTGTTGAATAGTGCCCACAAACTTGCTTTATGCGCACGATTGAAGACATCATTCAACATGTCGAACTAGCAACAATGAAGGTAGAATCATTCAAATTAGAAAAAAAAAGCCCATACAGGTGAGATCAAACAATGTGGTATCCTTTTGCAAATTTTTCAGAGCGCGCTTTTCTTTCTGTACCACTGCTTGTACGTGAGGTACGACGTACAAGTGAACGTGGGCGTTTCTAAAATATGATTTTACGCGAAGAAAAAGTTCCTTATTTCCAAAAAAAGAGTTTGAAAAAGTTTTGGAGGAAAAGCTCTCTAAAAAATTAAGATTTTTCATCACTCACACTTATTTCGATCATTTTGTAAAATATTACCGATATTTTTCCAACAGCTTGATACTTTTGCGAATTAAAATTCCAAAAATGGCATATCATTACTGCATTGAGAATAAAGCAGACACCTAAAAAGAACTACTGGTGATTAGTGGGGTAATATTTGTTTCTACTGTGAAATGCATTTTCATGTAATGTGCTATATCATAATAGAGAAACAGTCGTAAAATACTTCTGACGAAATGTGCAATTCAAGAAAAAAGAACAGCAAATGATGATCATAAGGAGCAGTGAGAAGTATTATCAGAAGTTGGAAAAAAATTATAGTATTAATTAGGATGATAATATTTCAGTAAATCTTAACATGAGAAAAATTAAGTGAAGTGAATTGATGGTTGGTGTTATCAGTCTTTTCTATCTTATTGGCATATGGCTGGTCAATACACAGTTTGATAACTACTTTAAAAAAAGCATAGAATTCAATAAAAGAAAAAAAAAGAAATTATACATAGTATACGCTAGATGCAGTACTAACCAATAGCAACAGAACATAAAAGCATCATCCCACTTAAACCATTGACAAGACCTGTACGGCTTTTCATTTTGCTAAGATGATCAAGCCAAATGCCCGTTGTTATCACTGATAACAAATTTCCCACAGCTGATATAATGCATAGTACGAGCCACATAATGAGCATCATTTTCCATCGATACCTGAAATTAACTTTGATTTCCAAATTCAATTTCATATTTCATGTACAGATAAAACCGGTAGGGTGTTCATTTTGCTAAGATGATCAAACCAAGTGTCCACTGTTATCACTGATAACAAACTTCCTGTAGCTGATATAATAATGATCCTTTTACATAGTCTTTAAAAGAGTGCTAAATAATCATTGAAGGAATTACTTAACAAATAATTGATCAAATCTTTTACCTATGTACAACACCAAGTCCTATGCAACCAGTGGTAGCACCAACAACTGCAGCTACCACATTCATATGACATGTTCCCTGATAAGCAGATTCTTGAGCAAAACCTGGACATGTAAAACCGTGAATCAGAAATCCCAACGATACGACTATTTCAACGCGACATAAATTAATCATCACTGACAAATAACTGAAATTAAAATTACAAGCTTTTAAATTTCACAGAACATTTCAGGGGCGGTCTTTTTTTCACTATTACTGATAATGTTTATTTAATACGGATTATATATAACAGTCGGTTATTCCGATAGAATTTTAACTAGGGCATATAAATGATCAAATCTGATATTTCATAGCATATTTTTATCAAAAAAATATATATATCTTAATTTTTTTTTTCGTCCTAAGGAATAAAATTTACATAGTAGAATGAAAGGATCTGCTTTCCTGCTTTTAATTCTAATTTCATTCTTTTTAATTTTGCTTATACTTTTTTTGTTAAATCACAGAGTCTAATTCCAACTTATTCAAAAAAAAAGCAAAATATGAAAGCTTGCTCGGTATGCTGAAATCCGGATTTCTGCATCACTGTATACGCTTTGTAACGTCTCATTCGTGTTTTCCCTTCCTCTAACAAGACATCTTCATCAGTCTCAGAACTCTGAAAATATTTCAAACATGCAAAAAAAAAACCAAATATTGTATGAATTTTCCATTCAAATGAAATAGTAACTTCAGAAAGTGAATTTTCCACCGTTAATGTAAAAGTAGAAAAAACATGCATCAATCAGTGAGGGAATATTTTTGAATGAAGAAATTAATAAATATAACAACAATTTCATATTTTCATAATCTAATATCTATATAAAACTGATTAGTGAGAAAAAAAATGTTATTTCAACTGATTTTTTTTTTTTTTTTGTTTTTTAAATTGGATTTTTTCAAATTTGATAACAAATTAATGATTAAAGCAAAAGATTTAAATGGATGAAATTTCAATGAACTAACAAATATGTTCAAAATGGAAGAAATAATAGAAGAGAAAATTGAAGAAAAAAAAGAAGAGAGAGAATGAAAAAAAAAGAAAAAATGTTTCAAAAGAATTTAAACAACATTCTCGTTAATGGAACAGTTTAAGCAATTCTGGTATTGAAATGTAAGAGTTCACCATTTGACTGGCTGCCTTGTGCACAATACGTAACGTTGGATCTTCAA